TAAACATTAAAGATCGAAGACCAGAAGAGTTGTGGGATGACATCAAGAACATCATACAGGAAGAAAGCAAAAAGTCATTACGAAGACAAGAAAGAAGGAAAAAGTCAAAATGGATGTCAGAACAGACACTGAAACTTGCTCTCCAGCATAGAGATGTTGAAGCAAATGGAAGAAATGAGGAGGTACAAGAGCTGAACAGAAAATTTCAAAGGTCAGCTTGAGAAGATAAAGTCAAACATTAAAACAAAATGTGCAAAGATATGGAGTCATAAAACCAAAAAGAAGAACATGCTGGACTGTGAATATGGAAAGCCATAGAAGAATTGATGCTTTTGAGTTATGGTGTTGGAGGAGCATATTGAAAGTGCCATGGGCTGCCAAAAAGAACCAATAGATCCGTTTTGGAAGAAGTGCAGCCAGAGTGCTCCTTGGAGGCCAGGATGGCCAAATTTTGTCTCACGTACTTTGGACATGTTGTCAGGAGGGACCAGTCGCTGAAGAAGGATATCATATTTGGTAAGGTGGAGGGTCAGAGAAAAAGAGAAAGACTCCCATCAAGTTGGATTGGCAAAGTCATAGCATCCATGGGCTCAAGCATGGCAACGATTGTGAGGTTGGCCCAGGATCAGGCAGTGTTAGGTCCAAATGAGTCTGTACCAACTCGATGGCATCTAACAACAGTGTGTTCCAATCAGGGTCATTTTCCCTCTTCCATAGTCCTGCTTGAAAAAATGATGATGAATTGAACCAACCATCATGATTTTGTGAAGAGTTACTTCTATATATGTTCTAATAGTACTGGTATGGCACTGTAGGATAAGCACTGGACCATAAGGTCTGTTTGAGTCACGATACTGAAGGTTCAAACCCAACATTTGCTTCTAGGAAACCTTCTACACTAGGTTCTCCATGAGTTAGAATAAACTCATCTGCACTTAACAATAATAGCAATGAGCAACATGACCAGGAAACCTTTAGGCACCTGTATCATCTTGATGGTCTCCTTCATCTGAAATACTTTTGTCCTGTTTAAGACTTAATAAAAGGATCTCTATAAAGTACATTTGAATTTGGGGTCATTTTTCTTCTAGAACATTGCTGAAATATTGCCTTTCCAGTGAGACTTCTTTGACTGATTTAATTTAAAATGTCAGACCATAAAACACATTTTTTATCTCTGCCTTACTTTTCTCCATAGTATTCATCATTCTGTAATGTGCTACATATTTATCACTTATTGTTTATCTCTGTCTATAAGGGAGTTTCTATGTAGAGCAAATGAATAAGCATTCATGCTTATACTAGCTGGAAGAATGGAAATCTTCCATTAGTTAAAACTCAATGGAGGACTCATGGTGTGGTGCTGTAGGATCAGGACTGGACTGCAAAGCATAAAGTTGATCAAACCCACCAGTTGCTCCTTGGAAATTCTATGTAGGATCGCTATGAGTTGAACCAACTCAACAACACTTAGCAACAACAACAAGTGTGACTTAGAAAACAGGTCCCAAAATCTGTTTTAAAAACCCAATGGAGCAGTTATACACTGCACATGTGAAATTGCCAAGAGTAGGAATTGACTTGAGAATATCAACAATTCTCTTTTAGAATATAAACAGTATGTTGTTGTATGTAGATGCCATTAAGTCAGTACCAACTCATAGCAACCTATGCACAACTGAATGAAACACTGCTCAGTCCTGTGCCAATGTCACAATCGTCACACTTGAATCCATTGCTGCTGAAACTATGCCAATCAATCTTGTTGGGGGGCCTTCCTCCCTTCCCCAAATCCTCCACTTTACCAGGTATGATGACCTTCTGCAGGGATTTGTCCCTCCTGATAATAAGTATTAAATATGAAAGATGCAGTCTAGCCATCCTGGTTTCCATAGAGGATTCTGGCTATACTTCTTCCAACACAGATTTGTTTGTTCTTTTGGCAGTCCATGGTACATTTGATATTCTCCTCCAACACCGTAACTCAAAGCATCAGTTATTCTCCAGCCTTCCATACTCACTTCCTTATGCACTTTCACACATATGAGGTTATTGAAAATACCATGGCTTGGGTAATGGGCATCTTAATCCTCAAACTGTTATCTTTGTTCTTGAACACTTTAAAGAGGTCTTGTGCAGTAGATTTGCCTAATGTAATATGTCATTTGACTTCCTGATTGCTGCTCCATGATTGTTGATTTGAGAAAAAAAAAAAAAAGTCTTTGACAACTTCAATCTTTTCTCCATTTATCTTGATGTTGCTTATTGGTCCAGTGGTAAGAATTTTTATTTTCTTTAAATTCAGGTGCAAATTGTAATGAAGGCTTTGGTCTTTTATCTTCACCAGTATTATAAGTCCTCTTTACTTTCAGCAAGCAAGGTTGTATCATCTGTATATCACAGGTTAATGAGTCTTCCTCCAATCCTGATTCCACATTTTTCTTCATATAATTCAGCTTCTTGAATTATGTGCTCAACATACAGGTTGGATAACCATGGTGAAAGGATGCAACTCTGGCACACACCTTTCCTAATTTTAAACCATTTGGTATTTCCTTGTTCTGTCAACTGCCTCTTGGTCTATGTATAGGTTCCTCATGAGCACTGTTAGGTGTTGCAGAATACTCAATCTCTGAAATGTTGTCTGTAGCTTATCATGATCCACACAATTAAAAGCCTTTGCATTGTCAATAAAGCACAGGAAAACATCTTTCTAGCATTCTCTGCTTTCAGCCAAGATCCATCTGACATCAGCAATGATATTCTTGTTTCACATCCTTGTCTGAATCTGGCTTGAACCTCTGGCAGTTCTTTGTCAATGTACTGTTGCAACTGCTTTTGGATTATCATTAGCAAAATTTTACTTGCACATTACATTAATGATATGGCCTGAAGATCTCCATATTCCGTTGGGTCACCTCTCTTTGGAATGGGCACAAATATGGATCTTTTCCAATCAGTTAGCCAGATATCTGTCTTCCAAATTTCTTAACATAGATGAGTGAATACATTCCTATAGGGCTACATGCTATAGTAAACACTATATGAGGGAAATGATTGTCAGTGTGGTTTATAGTAGTCTGGTACCTCTGGAGAACCATGTTTGGCACCAAAGAAGTACTAGGCCCGTGCACTTCCATCATGTGGATTCCAACTGAAAGTGGAATTTTTGTTTCTGTGTGTTGGTCCACACTCATAGATGCCTTGCATAGGGTTTCTGAGGAATAGCTGGCAAGCCCATCTTGCAGATCAAGCTGACCTTGTGGTCCAGTGCTTTATTCTACAGTGCCACACCAGTATGCCATAGTGACCCATAGTGGCTCTCTATAGCGTTTTGAAGCTATAAATCTTTGTTGTTGTTGTTGTTAAGTGCCATTGAGTCGCTTCCAACCCATAGCGACCCTGTACAGGGTTTCCGAGGCTGTAAATGTTTATAGGAGCAGAAAGCCTCATCTTTCTCCCGCAGAGCGGCTGGTAGTTTCGAACTGCTGACCTTGCGGTTCACAGCCCGATTGGTAACCACTACACTACATCTTTATAGGAGCATAAATCCTTATCTTTCTCTTGCAGAATAATTTGTGGGTTTGAACTGCAGGTCTTGAAACTAACAGTCCAGGGCTTATTCTACAGTGTCATCAGGGCTACTTGTTGTTAAGTGCTGTCACATTGGTTCTGACTCAGCTACCTTGTTTTGGGTTTCCGTGGAGTGACTGGTGGGCTTGAACTGCTGACCTTGCAATTACCAGTTCAGTGTTTACCCTAAAGCGCCACACCAGTGCTCCTTGTTGTTGTTGTTAAGTGCCACCGAGTAGGTTCCGTCCCATAGCGACCTTGTATAGGGTTTCCAAGGAGCAACTGGTGAACTTGAACCACCAACCTTGCAGTTCAAACAGTTTTGCAGTCTGGCGAATTAACCCGCCGTGCCAAACCAGAAAATACAAAATTACTATTTAATGAATAAATGAATGAACTGTAAACAGTATTACCTAATTGTGACCAATTCTTAACAGTGTTTTTGCTATATATTCCACATAAATTATTTATAGGATTATCAGCATTGTTGATTTTAGATATGTTCTATGCAGCAGTTACTGTCACATCTAAAATTGTTTTATTGTTTAACAGAGCAGATCATCAGTTTTTCATTCAATCAATCATATACTTTGCTTCATTCATTAAAATGATTATAATGTCCTCCCTGTACTTAATGGTAAATAGTGTTTACCTCTATTCACTTCCATATATGTTTTTAAAGGTTCTTGATTTCTCTTCCTTCAGTTTTGGGGAAGTAAAAGCAAATGGGAGTTTTGCTGTGATGTTAATGATGGTGATGGGGGCAAGGCGAATACATTTCTAGGGAAGGCAACAGGTAAAAGGATCAGATGCTCATGGAATCCAAAGTATTTCATCTGTGGCTGCTTGGTTCTTGAATTCAGCCTAGCTTAGTAATAACAGCAAAGAAAGAAATTTGCAGGATATTTTCTTTAACGATCTCCTGATGTAATTGTGTTTAGCGCTTTCATGTCAGTACCCTAGGGGAGCTTTCGGCCACTAGACTCCCACAACCTGTTTGTTCTCAGTCCCAGGGGACTGGAAAAGCGCTACTAAGTGGGGAACCTGGGCTCTTGGGTTCAGGAGGGAGCCGGCCAAGGATGGGCTTGAGATCTCGAGCCCTTACTGGGACGCTACCGGATCAAAAGTCCAAGCTACGCATTCCGGTTGGCCCCAGCGGCGACAGGTACTTGCGCTTGGCCCCAGCGGCAACTATACCTGCGCTTGGCCCTCTGGGTGGCCGCAAGCTCTGTGCTCAAGGTGTCAGGGCGGCGGCGCACAAGCGTAGGAAGGCAAGAATCTTGGAGTAAGAGGCCACAGGAGTCCAGAAGACTGAGTCGGATTGGTCCCGCATGGGGGCGCTGTCACCTGTCCATGGGAGGAGCCAGAGTGGGCTCTCGGTTTTTTTCTGCTCTGAGGCACTGTAGTAAGGAGAACCCAATCTGACCATGAAGGGCGCCAAAGGCATCGACAATCCGGCTTTCGTTCCCTCCAGCCCTGACACCCCGCGCCGTTCGTCTGCATCGCCCTCTCAGATTGAAATCTCTGCCTCACCCTCTGACTCGCAAAAAGAACGTTCACAGCTGCAGGAGCCTCAGGAACCCCAGAAGTATCCTGAGCCACAAGAGCCTCATCAGCCCCCACCTCTTTCAGAAACTCCTTCGTCTTCCCAGGAGCGATCCGGGCCACTTTCGCTAATCACGTTAGAAGAGGGACCTTGTGGATGGCGGAACTTCCACCCGAAATGTCTCCAGCGCTGCAACACGCCTCAGGGCTACCTGCTTCACTATTGCCTTCTGGCCCTCACACAAGGTTAGTGTCCAACGCTCTCTGGCAGGGGGGTTCATCTAGTGGAGTACAAGAAGTGGGCGCAGAAAGCTGGCAATGGGCAGCTGGCAGAGGGCAGAGGGACCCGGTGGGATAATCCACCAGTGTTTCGTGGTGCAAGGTGTCCCTGGGCTTGGATCTTGCAAGCGCTCACACCACTTCAACTAACCAGGTTCAGACTTCCTCATTTGAACTTCTGTTTTACTGCAACATTTAAAACTTGTTATACAAGCCGTGTGTGTGTGTGTGTGTGTGTGTGTGTGTGTGTGTGTGTGTGTGTGTGACCCCAGTTTAGCTAGCAGATTTGGTTCCTCCAGGTAATATGATAATTCTGAAACTGCATTTGGCGGTTTTATCTCTTGGGGAAATTTGGAAATTCCTTATACATAATAAAAATATACTATGCCTTCTTGAATCTGAAATTCTTTCTGGTTTTAAATCGTTAATTCTTTTACAGAGGAGAGTTGGACAATTCCTCAAAGGATAAATGCATTTCCTTAAGAAGGGCCTTCAAAAAGTTAGTGGAAAATTTCATGATCGTTTAATTCCATTTGTTCTCGAACTTTTGGAAGACCCCTACTAGAAAGTACAGACTTGAAATACACATTAATATTTTGTGATTGATTTAAAAGTATACGAACACAAGTGGTACTCCCAGTAAATTGAAAAAGGCTCTGGCATTGCTTAAATGGTCACCCAAAAAGAGTTAAACAGTAGTCTGTTTTGTTCAAGGATCTCATTTAAGTTCTTTTGGGAGTTACAGATTAAGCCCAAGGTTTATACCCTCAGGAGGTTGCAACCTAAGCAAGGTTTAGAAGAAGTGTTATTTTGTAAAGGGAGTCTGTTGTTAAGTGCTGTGGAGTCATTTGTTCTCATCATAGTGATCCTGTATGAAGTTTCTGAGGAGCAGCTGGTGAGTTTGAACCACTGACCTTGTGGTTGAAACCGACCTGAGGTCCAGGGCTTATCCTATAGCGCCACACCATGCCTCCAAAGGGAGCATTGTTGTTGTGGTTAAGTGCCATCTAGTCAATTCTGACTCATAACGACCCTGTATAGGGTTTCCAAGGAGCAGATGGTGAATTTGAAGTCCAGTGCTTATCCTACAGTGCCACACCAGGACACCATACAGAAGGCAAAAGTTATTTGTGGTATTGCTTATACACGGGTGAGTCAAAAATTATCTCCAGTCTGGTTACATTAAAACTCCCGTCCCTATCCACGGCTGATTGAACATGCACATGAAATGATTCTGACAAATAGATAAGTGACAGTGGATTATGTGGCAAATCATTTGCAAATCAGCCGTGTCTCTGTGAAATAATCCACAACAAACTTGGATTTTGAAAAGTTTGTGCAAGATGGATACAGAAACAACTCATGGGAGGCCATAAACAGAATCATTCGGACATCTACAAACAAAATTTGGACTGATACTCAAAGGAAGGTTAAAGTTTCTTAAAAATATATCATGACTGGTGATGAGACATGGATTCATCAACATAAGCCTGAGAGTAAATGACAGAGAATGGAATTGAAACATCCTCAATCACTGACCAATAAAAAATACAAAATTCAGTTGGAAAATTGATGCTTACAGTTTTCTGGGATTCTCAAGGACCAGTATTAGAACACTGTCGGGTAAAAGGCTCAACAATTAACAGTGCTCCTTACCTTACAATGTGATGCTCACTGAAGAATTGGAGCTTAAATTTTGGATTAAACTCAGAGGACTGCTATTTAAAAGCACTGTGATCTTGCATGACAGTGTGTACACTCACGCCTCTGCCCAAAATGTTGACACTCTGCAAATAATAATAATAATAATAATAATAATAATAATAATAAAACAACCCTTCCTTTTGCGATGTTAAAGCATCCTCCCTATAGTCCGGACCTTGCACCATTGGACTTTCATCTGTGTGGTCCCCTGAAAGCAGACCTTGAGGACGAAGATTCACCAATGATGAAGAAGTGAAGACAGCAGTGCATTCATGGCTCCCAGTTCCACTTAAAACATTTTTAAATAAGGGAATACAAAATCTTATTGATAAAGTGGACAAAGCGTTTTGAAAAGCAAGGAGATTATGTCAAAAAATGATTTATTTGTCTTTTCTAAAAGTTGACTAAACAATTCTACACCCAGAGTGTGGATAATTTTTGACTCAGACTCATAATACACGGGATGAAATAATTGTGAAGAAACAGGAGGATTAAAAATTGAGGAGGGGTACTCACAAAGTAGAGTACTTTGAAGTACTTGCTTAAGTTTTGTTTGAATTAATGGTTGTTTTTGTTAGCTGCCAACAAGTCTCTTCTGACTCATAGTGACTGAAACACTACCAGGCCCTTCACTAGCCTCACAATTGTTGTGGTGTTTAACCCATTGTAGCAGCCACAGCACTTTCCAGATTTTAGATCATTCAGCATCTCCTTGTTCTGTTTGACGCTACTCCCTCTTGGTTTCTTATAAGCACAATCAAGTGTTTTGGGTTTTCTATTCTTTACAATTTCAATCCATCTCATTGAGAGTCTTCCTCTTTTTTGCTAAACTTTCACTTTATCAAACATAATATTCTCCAAGGAGTGGCCCTTCCTCATAGCATGTCCAAAATATGAGAATGAAGTTTTACCTTTGTCATTTCTAAGGAGCAATCTGATCGTACTTTTTCCAAACAGATTTATTCTTTCTTTTGGAAATCCATGGTATATTCAGTATTCTTTGCCAACACCATAATTCAGAGACATCAATTCTTCTTCTGTTGTCCTTATTCATTGTCTGGTTTTCACATGTAGTTGAAAATACCTTGGTTTATGTTAGTTACATCTTTGCTCTGTAACATTTTAACAAGGTCGTGTGTAACAGATTTGTCCAATGCAATATGTTATTTGGTTTCATGATTGTGGATCCAAGTAAAATGAAATCTTCACAATTATTCTTTTCTTCCTGTATCGTGATGTTGCTTATGGGTCTAATTGTAAGGAGTTCTGTTTTTGTTATGTTAAGATATAATCCATACTGTAAGCTGTGGCCTTTGATATTCATCAGCAAGTGCTTCAAATCCTCTTCACTTTTAGCAAGCAGAGTTATATCATCTGCATACTGCAAGTTGTTAATGAACCTTCCTCCAATTCTGATGCCATGCTCTTCATATAGTCCATATTCTCAGATTATTTGTTCAGTATTCAGATTGGATAAATATGGTGAAAGTATAGAGCCATGACACATAACTTTACTGATTTTAGATCATTCAACATCTCCTTGTTATGTTTGAAACACTCGCTCTTGTTTTCTCATAAGCACAATTAAGTGTTCTGAGATTCCCATTTTTACCATGTTATCCATAGTTTGTTATGATTCTCACAGTCAATTATCTCTGAATAATCAATAAAACACAAATAAACATCTTCCTAGTATTTTCAGCTTTCAGTCAAAACCCATGTAAAGTCTGTAATGATTTCTCCATTTCCATGTTGTTTGGTGAATCTACCTTGAATTTCTGATAGCTCCTTATCAGGGTAATGCTGCAACTATTTTTTAATTATCTTCAGTAAAAATGTACTTGTATGTGACATTAATAACTTTGTTCAGTAATTTACACAGTTGGTTGGGTCACCTTTCTTTGGAATGAGTACATATATGGAGCTGTCTTCCAGATTTCTTGGCATAGGATGAGTGAGCATCTCCAATACTTCATTGAAACATTTCATTTGGTGTTCCCATTATTTCCTGGGACCTTGTTTGCCAATGCCTTCATTGAAGCTCTTGGACTTCTTCCTTCACGACTTTGGATCTTGATAATATTGGCTGCCTCTTCAAATGGTTGAACATTGACAAATTCTTTTTGGTAAAGTGACTCTGTACAGTCCTTCCATCTTCTTTGGATGCTTTCTACAACATTCAATATTTTGCATACAGAATCCTTCAATATTTCTAAGTCAAGGTTTGAATTTTTTTGCTTCAGTTCGTTCAGCCTGAGAAATGCTGCACGTGTCCTTCCCTTTTAGTTTTCTACTTCAAAGTCTCTGTATATTTCATTATAAAACTTTACTTTGTTTTCTTGAGCTGCCCTCTGAAATTTCTGTTCAGCTTTTTTTACTTAATCGTTTCTTCCAGTTGTTTTAATTTTTCTAAGTTCAAGAACAAGTTTCAGAATCTCTCTGGAACCCATTTTTGTCTTTTCATTTTTTCCTGTCTTTTTAATGACTTTTTTGCTTTCTGCGTGGATGATGCCCTTGGTGTTCTCCCACAGCTCCTCTGGTCTTTAGTCATTAGTTTTCAGTGCATTAAATCTTTCCTTGAGATTTGATCTCATAAGGTCATCATGAGGTAGAATCAATCTGACAGCAATGGGTTTGCTATTTTTTATGGGAAAAAATTATATCAAACTAATTTATGTAACTTAGCATTTCCCAAATGAAGTAAACAAGGTTTCTCATTACACTTAAATTTCTAATGTGTCGCCAATGTTTAATCATTTATATTAGAGATATAGCATATAACATTTCATAGATAAGTTTGTTTTTAAACAGAACACTTTGTGCTTGGGTCACAAAAATTCAATTTTTGATTCACAGGATCAATGTACTATTTCTTCCAGAGGAATTTATGAATTAACTTAAAAAGAAAAAAAATAGTTCCATGAAAGGCATTGGTTTCTAATGACAGGTTTTTCTTCAGAAGGCCTGGTGGAATTGTGGGATAAGTATTGAGTTGCTAACCACAAGGTTGATTGACTCTTATTTCCATCCAGATAAAGCATGTTTCTGTGCCTTCCTGCCTTCTTCAGACTGTCTCACATCCAGCACACACTGACTGTATTGGTTCTCTCTTCTTAAACCTTAAGTTTGAATGCTTGCCTCAAATAAATTATGGAGTGTGAAAGATGAATATTAAGTATGTAATATCAATCCCATACTTTGTGTCCAAATTTTTGCTATATACTGTATTGATGAAAGAACTTTAGTGAGAAACATTGATGGATTAATAAACTAGTAAATTACTTAGGGCTATTGGCATTTCTTGGTTTGGTGCTGTAGGATAAGCACTGGAATGCTAACTAAAAAGTTCTTGTCCACCAGTCATTCCTCAGAAAAGAAGTGGGGAAAAGATAAGATTGTCTATCCCCATAAAAATTTACAGTCTCAAAAATCCTATGCAGGATCCCTGTGAGTTAGAAAGGAGTCAATGGCAGTGTGTTGCATGATTTTTATTCACCGTGGCACAGGTTGGGGTTGGGGTTAATTTTAGGTAAGAGCAATTTTCCTATACTCAGATATTTTTCCCTTCATATAAAAAGTGTCATTCCTAGATGCTTTACATACTCTATTTAGATAGCTCAGGAATTATCATTTGTTTTGTCCTCTCCCATTCCTGTAGAATTGATTCTGACTCATAGAAACCCTTAGGACAGAGTAGAATTGCGCCATAGGGTTTTTGTTTTTCTTTAAAATAGGGTTTTTAAGGCTGTAATCTTTATGGAAAGTAGATTACCACATCTTTCTCCTGTGGAATTGCTGATGGGTTCAAACTGCTCACCTTTCTTTTAACAGTTGATTGCTTAATCATTGTGCCAACAAGGATTGTTATATATTTATTAAACTGGCACAAAACTAAAAGTAACATTAGGACTTATGAAGTCTGTTGCATACCTTTTTAGAAATTTACTTTCTTGATAAAGCAAAATTTCAACAGATTGCTGGCTTAGGTATAGTCTTTCCATTAATGAATGGAAATAATTCATGGTATCTAAAAGGGACAACTAGTTTTAAATTTTATAGTTTGATCAAACTCTTTATTTTTTGATAACTTTATTTCCTATAAGTTTATGTTCAGACAGTATATTTTTGTTGTCAGTTAAAATTGGATTTTCAGTCTTTTATTGTTTACCTTATATTCTCCATCATTGTAATCATATTAAATGAATAGATGAAGTGTTTTTTGTTTCATTTTACTTTTCGCTCTTACACTATATACAGTTTAGAATGCCAGTGGTTGAAATAAACTCTTAGCTTTTATTTACTTTTATTCCAGAACATTTTAAAGGAGAATTTTTACTTCTAGAAAAGCCTATATCGATTCCCGGTGTGGCTATGTAGGATAAGCACTGGACTGCTAATCACAAGGTCAGAGGTTCAAACCCAACAGTCCCTCCTTGGAAAACCAGTACAGGGTCCCTATGAGTTGGAACCAATTCAACAGCACTTTATAACAGCAAAAGCATAAGAATGTTAGAAAGAAAAAATGAAATTTGATAACTCAATTTTAACTTTCTAAAGACTAGGTCAAGGTGATCTCTTTCATAAATAAATATGTTTAAAAACTGAGTACTTTGGGATACAATTGAGTATTGCTCTAATGACCTATGTGGTTACTTGTACTTTTCAAAGTAAGGCTTGTAGGTGTATGCTACGCTGGAAACTAGCAACTTGGCTTCATGGAACTTTTCCACACTAACTCTGTTTTGGCTCTTAATTCTTAAATGAATTAAGCCCAATTAACTTAATTTATAACATGCATCAGTTTTCTTTAGCCCTTGACAATTGACAGTTATATAATTTAGAAAGTAAACTGTGATTTTTCAATGTTTGGGTTGTAGGAGCTCTGGTGGCACTGTGGGTTAGGCTTTGGCTACCAACAGCAGAGTTGGTGGTTTAAACCCACCAGTCACTCTGAAGGAGAAAGGGAAGGCTGTCTGCTCCTGTGAAGATTTATAGTCTCAGAAACCTTACATGGGGTTGCTATGAGCCAGAATTGACCTGATGGCAGTGGGAGTATGTTTTTGTGGTATAACTTTGCAACTTTGATTATTTGTCATATTTGAAAAGAAATGAAAAATCTAACTTAATACACTGTGTTAATAGTAATTGATAGCTATTATAAAGTTGTAATAATGCTTACAAACCTTGTTTTCTCTCTTTCAGGTATTGTTGTAAATGGCCTAGTAAATATTAGCATTTCTACTATTGAGAAGCGCTATGAAATGAAGAGTTCCCTGACGGGTCTGATATCATCAAGCTATGATATCTCATTCTGCGTGTTGTCTTTATTCGTATCATTCTTTGGTGAAAGAGGACACAAACCAAGATGGCTTGCATTTGCATCTTTTATGATAGGATTGGGAGCCCTTGTCTTTTCCTTGCCACAGTTTTTTAGTGGAGAATATCAACTGGGGTCCATTTTTGAAGGTAAGTTCTGTTGTTTTTGTTTGTTTGTTTTAGTCTATAAAGCGAGTACAAAAATAGGTCTTCAACTCTATATTATAATTTTTACGTATACATAAGTGGGGAAAAGCTTTGTTCTTCATGGGGTTTGTGTTAAGTTGGAGAGCACAGAGTCAGATTGAGCATTTTTTATTAGTTTAGCAGTTCTCTAAATGCTCATTAATCCTCTGATTGTCATTCCCGTATTATAAACAGTTCTCCTGCCAAAAGAGATTGCAGGTTCTGTGACCTCATTGAGTATTGAGATCTAGAGTTTATTCTTTTGTGATTATATTTGCTGTGGTTACAACATCACATCCTGGAGGTATTGATTTCAGATTTTAAGAGAAAGACAGGGGAAATTTATAGAAGGAATGAAGTTTTTCCTAGGACATAAAACTATCTTTATTTTAGATTCTCTAGTTTGGAAACACAGAACTTCATGAATTACCTGAAGTGTTGCTTTCACTAGATGATAACATGCATTAATCAGTTCCCCCAAATGAAATGTGATGTTTTTATTTCTACTTCATTTTTCTGAGTCATTTTTACTGGAAAAAACAATTATGGAGGAGCCACAGGGATGTGTTAATGAGAGTAGATCTTAGTATTTTTATTGTCTTTTGCAAAAACGGTGTGGAAGCCATGTCTGAACTCCCCCAATTTCACAAGGGGAAAGAAGAATCAAACTCAAAATCAGTCTAAGGTTGATTCTGTTAGGCAGAGGTCAGACATACTTCCACTTTTCAACCTACTTTATCTATTCTGACACCAGCCATTCTTCCCAGGACACTCTACTTCTCTGATGAGTTTGATAAGTTGTTGCACTGTTGATGTTGTTAAGTGCGATCGAGTCAGTTCCGACTCATAGTGACCCTGTATAGGGTTTCTGAGGAGTGGCTGGTAAGCTTGAACCACCGAGCTTGCAGTTCAAACATGTCTTGCAGTCCAGCACATTAACCCATGATGCTAGGACTCCAATTCATTGCACTGGCCACAAAGAGTTCATAGTGTTATAAACTACTGTTGTGGTGCTATAGGAAGGTAAGAAATTCAAACCCACCAGTTCCTCGGAAACCCTAAACAGGGTCAATATGACTCGGAACTTACTCGACAGCACTTAACAACAACTCACAATTATGTGATTTATTAGGGAAGCGAACTGGGTATAATTCAGGATTAGAAATAACCATGGATACAGAAGTTCTCTCGTCAGCAACCTTCTCAGTCATACCTCAGGCGCATCTTTCTCTGGTTCTTGGCCTTTCAGCCACCCTTCTTAGCTAAAGGTAACCCTGCTTGGCTAAAGGTCACCCCATTTTGCGCTTAGCCTCACTCCTTCTATTGGTTGGGAAGCCTGCCACTCTGGCTTTCCATGTCTCTGCCTGTGCTGCTGTCTCTCTAGGAAGGGTTCTCAGGGTTCAAACGATAAGATTTCACTCCTGACTCTTCTTTCTTGTTGGTAGTGAGATCCCATTCCTGCTTCTGAGATGGCTCAATTGAAACCAAGCCAAATGACAAAACTGGTCAATCTCTTTGTTTGAGTCTCATACATCCAGTTTGCATAATGATTACAAGGGGGGAGGGAGGTTGGAGGCTGCTAACCATATGGTCTGTAGTTTGAATCTACCAGTCACTCAGCAGGAGAAAGATACATGAGGTTTTCTGCTCCCATAAGATTCACAGCCTCAGAAACACTATATAGGGTCATTTTGAGTCAGAATCGACTCCACAGCACACAACCCCCAAAGCAGTCATTTGATGGGCGTTACAAAGACTGAATAAAAGAGTCATATCAAGTAAATTCACTGTACCACATCCTCCCTGGAACTTTTAATATCAAATGTTGAAATAATGGAGGACAAATTATTGCTGTTGTTGTAAAAATGCCATCAAGTTGGTTCCAACCCATAGCGACCCTGCATAGGGTTCCAAGGAGTGGCTGATAAGTTGAACTGCTGACCTTGCACTTCAGACAACTTTGCAGTCTGATGCATTAATGCACAGCACCACTTCAGGACTCTGAGGACAAATTGTTGTTGTTAAGTACCGTGTAGTCAGTCTGATTCATAGTGACCCTCCACAGGGTTTCTGAGGCTGTAAATATTTATGGGAGCAGAAAGCCTCATCTTTCTCCTGCAGAACCGCTGGTAGTTATGAACTGCCAACCTTGAGGGTAGCAGCCCGATTCATAACCACTACAAATTCAGACATTTTCAGGGGTTAGTTAAGTAAAGCAATAGCTTAGAGAAAGGAGCATTGGGGCCTTCTGTCCTATAATTGAGCTTCGGTGGCACTGTGGGATAGGTGTTGGACCGCTAACCTCAAGGTCAGTGGCTAAAACCCACCAACTGTTCCAAGGAGAAAGATGAGGCTGTCTGTTCTGTAAAGATTTATAGTCTTGGAAAACCTTATGTAGGGTTGACCATGAGTCAGAATTGACTCAATGACAGTAAGTTTGGGTTTCAGGACAGATAAACATAATTTTTAAAATGTTGTTGTTGTTAAGTGCCGTTGAGTTGATTTTGAATCCTAGAGGTCCTGTATTGGGATTCCAAAGAGCAGCTGGTGGATTTGAACCACCGACCAAAGTTCAAACTGAACTTTGTATTATACTTATGAGTGTTAATATTGATAGTTAATATTCAAAAGTAATTTATCCTAAAACCAGTTTCCCAGTTAACAGAAAAAATAAAATATAAATTATAGCACAAAGTAGGTGCTGAACAATGTTCGTGATAAGGTCTGTAAAATAGCTTGTTATACGTTTTGGACTTTGTAGGAACACCATATTACATATAAAATACATATGTTTATACTTAATTGATACAAATTTATCAAAATAACCCTCTCCCAAGCTCTGGCTGTCGGTTAGCGCTTGGAGTCTTGGAATTTTCAAATTTGTACCTGCAACTGGTTGCCTGTAGGTGGGCTGGACTCTCTGAGTAGCCCCTGGGAAGCCTGGTGAGAATGGGAAACCCCAAGGAGCAAATTAGATTGTTCACAACCCAGCCTCCCCTGCAGATATTGTCCTGTGGAGTGGTTGGTTAGTGGACACACTAGCTACAATCCTGGCTTGGCTGCTACAGTGTATGTGGGATTGCAAGCCATGTTGTGGTTCCAGGCATCACAGCAGCTGAGCCACGACTTGCCTGAGCTGCTAATTCAACGCTGGTCTGGTTCCTGGCACCCTTCCAAAGCAAGCCCGTTTATCATATCCCTTGGTCATTACTTAACGCATACCTGCATGTATTATGCAGAATGGTTTTAGAAGTACACTTATTAAGGTAAGTAGACTTTATTTTGGAAGTGAAAACAGAATATAGCAAGCAGTCAGATGAATAGAGGATGTATTTTAACATGTAATAAAATAACATTTGAAATGAGACTGTAATAAGAATATTTTAAGTGGAAAAACATGTAGAATCTAGTACATCATCTAGTAAGATACAATAAGATTGGATGACATGCACTTCAAATGATTTCACTGGAAGAACTTTTGGGAACAAGGCACATATTACAGCCTAGGTTTTACTATAACCTCTCTGAGTGAGAACTCAATAACCATACTCATCACCAGTGAGTCAAATCTGACTTGTAGCGACCACCCATATGGTTTCCAAGGTTGTAGTCTTTATGGAAGCCAATTACCACATAGTTCTGTGGAGTGATTGGTGAGTTTGAACCACTGACCTGTGGGTTTAAATTGCCAACCCTTGGGTTAGCAGCTGTGCACTTACTGCTGCACCTTCAGGACTCCTTGAAAACCAGCACAGTAAAGTATGAATTTTAATCTATGACTCAAGATGATTATGAGACAACAACAATGTTATGGTGCTTATGGTATTTCGGTCCCTTGTACTTTCAGTTGCTCAGATACACTGCTTGCTCTTTTCAGATAATTTTGCTGGAAAAAAGTTTGTTTCTAAACCAAAACAAACTTCCTAGTCTAGTACAAAAGTCCAATGTGTACACGGTAATTGTCTTAGCTTCATACCTTGCCAAATGCTCCTTGAATTACAGCCAATTAATATAACTTGTTTCTCCTTAAGATGAATGTCCACAAATTAAGGGATGTGTATGAAACCTAAGATGATTGCTGAAGGCAGATCATAATTTTTAAAAATACATTACCGCTTACTATGCGGGTTTTAACCAAATTCATGTTGCCTATCTAACTGATATTTTATATTACTTTAATTTTATTTTAGTAGATTGTTGTTGTTAAGTGCTGTCGAGTTCTTTCTAACTCATAGTTACCCAATATAGAGTTTTTAATGCTGTAGATCTTTGAGGGTGCATAAAGCTTCACCTTTCTTACCTGGAGCAACTGGTGGGCTTAAATCATCAACTTTGTGATTAGCAGTCCAGTGTTTATCCACCAGCTCTCTCAGCTAATTCATATTTTATATTATTTTAATTGAAGTAGATGAAATATAGGAATTATCTCGTCTGTACAGTTGTTACTCCAGGACTTGTAATTTAAACATCATGTTGTTAGTAGTTGTCATAGAGTCAATTTTTTTTGACTCATATAGACCCATGCATGCATAATATGGTATGGCGTTTTGGTAGCAAATTGACAAACTTATTTTCTGAGGCAACTTGGGTGGTGCAAAAATGGCGTGAGGGCCATGTCTGACCGCCTCAAACTTCTCAAGTGGGAAGGAGTAGAATTACAAGCCTAAGACCAATTTATAAGAGGCTGAGGTCAGATATACCTCCACCCAATAACCTTCTTTATTGTTTTTTGACACCAACCATTCCATCTATGACACTCTACTTCTCCATTGGACTTGATCATCCGTTGCAATGGCCACACAAAACTCACAGACAATTATGGACTTATTAGGGAAGTTGACAAGGTTCAATTCAGGATCAGAAACAACTCAGACAACAGAAGTTCTACGGTCAGGAACACCTCTTCTCAGCAATGTCTCAGGCATCCCTCTCTCTGGCTATCAGCCTTTCAACCACATTGTCCT